TAGTATAATATTTATAACTAACACTTACCAAGAAATTTCCTAAGCCCTTTAAAATACTGATTGATTTGTCACAACAACTCTACACAGTCCCTAATTTATGATGTGAACTGATAGATGGAAAAAGTAAGTTAACTTGCTCAAGGTCACACAGCCAACAAATAGTAGAGCCAAGATTTAAACCAGGTACACTCTCAACTGCTATGTTAAACTATGAGGGACATGACCAACTAAAGGTACTTGAGGGACATTCAAGGGGCTGGGTTTAACTGGTATTTGGTAAACAGAGCTGAGACTCAAAAGTAAAGTAAGAGTTAACAATATGGATTTTTAGAGTCATTAACATAGCTTATTTTCTGAGGTCATGAGAGAGATGAGATGGCCATTTGAAATGAAAAGAAGAAAGCCAAAATGTAAGGAGCAGCTTAGAGTCAAGAGAGACCAAGGAAGGAGGGTTCCACTCAGCCATAGTCCACAGGCAGAGTCAGTCACCAGTGCACTAAGGCATGAGCTCAGCAGTCCCGACTTTCCTCTTTTTGTGAAAAAAAGGGGAATCCATTCACTGCTGGCTGGGTGATGAATCTGGCTCGCATAGCTAAAAGACCCTTGCTAAGATTACATCAGGAAGAGAGGAAACCTAACATATGAAATGGGGGAAGAAAAGGAAAAAACAAATGGGAACAAAAAAAAAAACTATTCTTGGAAGGATGATTTATATCTGTGTTTGAGCAAAGCCCCTGCCTCCAGCTGATCCATCATTTTTACTCCACCCTCCTCACCAAACCTAACTCTGTGGAGAAGGAAGGGCCCCAACCATGCAGCTGCAACCAGGAGCACAGAAGAAAGCAGGAAGGCATCCTCTTGCAGAAATAGCACAAATAATGACAGTTCATACAATAATCCACTTTTGTTTTTAATAGGCTTTACATCACTTATCAGCTATCAACAAATGGAAACGATAAATGCAGGCAGGAAGTGGGAAGAGTGCTGTTGCAGTGTGAGGACTGCATGAATGTCACAAAACAAAATGCATATGTATTGTTGAATGGAAAATCAATTTGCTTTGTAAACTTTCACCCAAATCGCAATAAAAAGTTATTTTAAAAATTGCCCAGAAAAAAAAGCATCAGGAGGTTCTGGGGAAGGATGTAAGGGATGAAAAGGCTGTATGCTATACCCTGAGTTCTAGCTTTCAATCAACCTAATTTGAGGGAGGAATAAGGGAATAATAGCAAACGATGGGCAGATAGCCCAGGAGGCTTTAATTCTGATTCCTACTAAATGCAGAAGGCGAAAAAGAAACAGGGGAAGTGGTGGCCATTTCCTCCTTAGGTACCCCGGGCCTGGAGAGGGTGAAGGACAGCTGAAACAGCACCAGAGGGAGCCCTGGGCTCCAGGATCTGCTAACGTGCACAGGCTTTGGTTGCCGTGGTGCCATCTTGCTGGCAGGCAGTTTCATTAGTATCCTCTTTCTGCCACAGCTCCTGTCTTGGGGACAGCAGTAGCAGCCAGAAAATAGGAAAATTGTTATTTGCAGTCTAATGGCTGCAGGATGACTGAAAACTATGTCTGGAAGGTACAAGGAGAATGTAGTTAGAGACAGACAAAGCAATTAAGATGGCAGTAAATGTCTTTGGAATTTATTAAATCCAACCAGAACATTCTAAGGAGCTCTGGTAGCATAGTGCCTAAGGCACTTGACTGCTAACCAGAAGGCTGGCGGTTCAAACCCACCAGCCACTCCTCGGAAGGAAGGCTGGGCAATCCTACTTCCGTAGTGATACTGCCTCGGAAACCCAAGGAGGGGTCGCTATGAGTCAAGGCCGACTGGACGGCAAATAACAATAACAGCAGAACATTCTATGGTTAAGATGCTGCAAAAAGGACAGGGAGGCCACATATTCTGACCTCCTAGAACCCCACAAGAGGAAGGCAGAATCACCATCAATAGCCCAAGGCCTATTCCTGAGAGGCCAGACATGCTGCCTCCCTCCAGCCCTTTCTCCAACCGTTCCTCCCAAAGCACCCACCACCTCTCTCCTGGTTTCGATAATTCGCTGCAGTGGCCACACAGAACTCACAGATTATGGAGTTTATTAGGGAAGCACCAGGCTACAATTCAAGTTCAGGAAAAATTCTCAGTCTCTCTCCCAGCCCACCATCTCTCAGCCAAGTCTCTCACAGTCTCTCCCCCAGCATTGCATGTCCCTCAGTGTGTTACTCAGCAATGAGTGTCTCTTGCATCTCTTTCCCAGCAGCACGTGTCTCTTTCAGCAGCACGTCTTCCTCACCAGCAGTCAGAGAAGAGTTCTGCCTCTAGGAGGACTCCTTTTGAGCTTGGCAGAGTGGCCAAACCAACCAATCGTAACAACAGAATTCTAAGCACCTGAGAGTGAGCCTCCCATAACATTGCGTGTACCACGCCCAACAGAAACCCAGGTGGATAACATTTACAATCAGGAGCTCCTCAGTTGTTCATTCCACCACTCAGTTTACAATGACTTATGGGTAGAAAAGCCATACTAAGTAATTTACTACACTGCAGATGCCTACATAACTAAGCACTCCTCAAAACTTTTGGGGGGGAGATACTTATAATTTGAGAATCTTACCAGAGAATGTCAGCTTAGAAAAAAAAAAAAATCAAGGCTTTGTCTCACAATGATTTCTGATAATGAGGCTCTGGGTTCACTTCTGGGTAAAAAGTATGAACTCGTGGCAAAGAAAACAAAATGGTGTATTGGTCAGCATCCTGGAGTGCAAGTCAGGGCACTCACAGATGTCTTGGCTCTGACTCTAATCAGCCCAATGACCTTGGCATTCTAAGCCTCCTTTTCTTCATCCGTAACAAGAGGAGGTTGGACTAAAAGAACTTTATGAGCACTAGTACTCTCACAGCCTAGATATAGGGGTGTTCAGGAGTAAGGGAGCCCTTCCAGTGCCTCCCATAGGATAAGAGGGTATGCAGGTGCCAGGATCTTAATTGTGCCTCCAGGGACACTCAACCATGACAGTGGCCACAACTTAATGGAAGAGCTAAGAAAGCATATACATACTCACAATGATAAAAGGGAAAAAAAAAAACAAAAAAACTCACTGCCATCAAGTCGATTCCGACTCATAGCAACCCCTCCTTGGGTTTCCAAAGTGGTATTCTCTACAGAAGTAGATTGCCCAGTCTTTCTTCCGAGGAGTAGCTGGTAGGTTTAAACTGCCAGTCTTCTGGTTAGTAGTCAAGTGCCTTAGGCACTATGCCATCAGAACTCCCCCTCACAGTGACACATCCATACAAACTGCCTAAACAATGAGATAGTGGGTAGGGGACCAAGACTTAATCATCTTCATACACGTGACATCTAGCATAGTGTAGGCAGTTGGCTGAACAAATATTTATTGCATGTTCTTGTAGTAGTTTGCATATGTTTGAAAAATTTCATAAGTCTACATGATTGTATAATGAACTCGCCCATCATACTCATCACTCCTACATATTCACTATTCAAAAAAAATAAAATAAAACCTCACTGCTGTCAAGTTGATTTGACTCATAGCAACCCCTCCTTGGGTTTCCGAGGCAGTATCTCTACAGAAGTAGATTGCCCAATCTTCCTTCCGAGGAGTGGCTGGTGGGTTTGAATCACCAGCCTTCTGGTTAGCAGTCAGATGCCTTAGGCACTATGCCACCAGACCTCCTATATTTGCTATACATCTCTAAAATATATAGACCTTTTCTTACATAACCACAGTACCCTTATCTAACTGTATGAGAGCTTAAATTCTAAAGCACTTGGGATTATGGAGGGCTGTGGTCTACAGTGGGAGCCCTGACTCCATTTTGAGGCTTGACATAAGTTTCAGATGCCATTTGGGTTCCTTCTGACCATTAAACCATCCTTATGGGGATGCACAGACAAATTCCAGGACAAACCTAGGGAGAAGCTGTTTGCCTTCAGGAGGAGTATGGTTGAAAGATTACATACTAACAAAGAACTAGGGAACTTGCCTGAGAGTGTCCTTTTCTAATTAAAATTAAGATTGGGGTCTTGATATTTTTTAGCAGCCACCTTGTGGCTAGGACTCCCGGCTACACAGTTGTGAGTTACAGCCCATCCAGACCACCAACTAGCCAGGTAGTTAAGAACAAATCCTGTACCCCTATCTTCAAATCCCAATCATGGTCTTTACTTTGCTTCTGTAGTCCCACCTGTAACAATGACTAACTACTACCAGTCATGATTTTGTGATTATTTAAAATCACACATAATTAGCCACATGGCCATGACTCCGTAGACGCCATTCAGCTTTCTTAGGCTGATGGTTTCCCTCACCCAAGATGATTGGCTTTGTTCTGTCCAAGGTGTAATAAAAGTGTCTCTATTAAACCTGTTTGAATTTGGGGTATCTTTTCACCTAAAACAAAACCTAACAAAATTAATAACTTGAAGACAAAGTTAATTCACATAAGAAATATACCTTATACTCAAAAAAAAAAAACCCGATTTCGACTCATAGCAACCCCTCCTTGGGTTTCCAAGGCCATATCTCTATGGAATTAGATTGCCCCATCTTCATGCTAAAACATATAATTACATAAATTATAAAGTTTTCCTCCATTAAAGCTATTGATAATATCAAAAACAAAACCCCAATAAGTCTAATATTTAAAATAATAAAACATGAGCAAAACTCTTAAGAGTAATTAATTCTTTACTCTGCTATCCTATTCAACATATTATTTGAGAATAAAATCCTATTTTACTTTAATAAAGTACAGAAAATAAAGGAAGAATGCAACCCGTATACCCACTCTCTGGTAACTGCAAAAGCACTTTTCAAACTAATCCCAAGAAATTTAGCAGATGTCTTGAAGTCTTTTGTTAAACAAAAAAGGTGCATGTAGTGGCATTTTATGTTAAATTACAAATAATTTAAATATCTGAAATTTTGCTAGGCGGAGCTCAAAACCTGTCAGAGAAAATAAATAAATAAAAGCAAAACCATACCTTGACAGAGTGTGTAATTGTTGTTTTTCTAAAACTTTGAAGATTGAGTTCACAACACTTCAACAATGAGATGACTTCCAATCACATGTCCTCTTCAAGAAGGTTACTTTTTGTCTAATAACAAGAGAAATGTTAAAGTCAGAATTCTCTACTTAAAAAAGTTTTTCAAAAGACTCTCTTCAAAAGCAGTTCACTCCACCACATTTCAGAATCAGGCATCTCTGTAAAAAAAAAAAAAAAACAAAAACCAAAATCCAGCTAATTAGTCTCAGCTGTTCGTCATATGTCCTTGTAGGCCAGTCAAGTGATTTTTCTTCTTTCAGGCTTACTAAGATCCAATTTGACTGGACTCTCACACAGAAGCTGACTTGATTAACCACTTTCAGTACTAGTACTTCAACTGTTTCTTCTCCCTACCCCCAACCAAAAAAGTAGAACACTTGTTTTCTTTAAAAAACATCTTGAAAAGTATCATGTTCTTAAAGCCCCTAAAGGTTGTATCAGTCTTGTTTCTTTACAAATACAATGCCTGATCCAAACAATTCAGGAGATCAAATGGAAGAAGCAGGAGGGAAGTTGCCAGATTACTTCCCAGACCTCCATCCTGGTCTCATAAATAAAATTTTCTACTAGGGAATCCACCCAGTTGTCCTGCAGGCATCTCAAATGCAGCAGGTACTACACCCAACTTACCTCCTTGGATCTTCTCCCCTGACCTTGCCTGACCCATTTCTCTTCTTTTGTCTTGAGTAGCACAGTCCCAACACATATTCAGTCAGAATTCAGATGATTCTCATTGACTCCTCCTCCCTCTCTTCCCTACCCACTTCCAATTAGGGATCTTATCTCCTGTTCCTCTTATTTCAAGTTTTTCCTTCTCATCTGTAGCCGCTTATTTGGTTATCTGGCCTCCAATCGAAACCCACTTCCAGCATCCATCACTCTCCTACTTAAAACCTATAAATGGCTCCCTACAACTGCCACAATGAAGCACCTATCTGAGTATAAGGGACTTAATACCCAGGCCTCTGTTTTCAGCATAGCCTCAGACCAGCATCATCAGCATCATATAGGGAAATGTGTTAGAAATGCACCTTCTTGGGGCTACTCCACTTTTCCTGAATCAGAAATTCTAAGGATAAGGCTCAGCCACCTGTTTTAACAAGCCCTCCAGGTAATGCTGATTCTCACACTAAAGTGTGACAGCTGATGTTCTAAACCCATCAAGCTCTGTTCACTGAAAGACACAGCCCCTTGGCTCCTCCTCCTGCCACCAAGGCTGAGTTGGATGTCCTTCATCATGCCCACTTTTTCCTAACACTGATCATTCCTATGATAACTATCTGATTTATTCTTCTTGGTTTGTGAATATCTTGAAGGCAGGGAATGTCTGGTTTCATCTTTGACTCATTCATCCCACATTTATTGAGCACTTAGTAGTCACTGGGCTAGATGCTGGGCATATCATTAATCTTTCCTTTGCCTTTAGGGGAAATCTCTCACTTTGGCTGCTCAGAACTGCATGACTAAAAACTCAGTCTTCCAAATTTATAAAAGCCTGCCACCAACCTAAAGAACTGCAGGCAGCTAAGAGCCTGAACATAACCAATCTGACATCTTTGTGGTAAATGACAAGGATTTTTTTGGTTGACATCTACATGCAGATGTATAGACATGGCTTATAAAGGGGGAAAGTGTGTTTTTATGAAAAATTACAAATTTCTCTTTATTATCTTACACAAACCTCTATAACTTAGAAAGCAGTTTAGTAAGGAAATGTACCAAGATTTTAAAATCCCAAATTAAAATTCACTTGAGTTAGCTCATTACAATAAAGGAGCCCCTGGGTGATATAAATGGTCAAGTCCACCCAGAGGCACCTTGGAATAAAAGCCTGGCAATCTACTTCTGAAATCACGCATTACAAACCCTATGGAGTGCAGGTCTGCTCTGAAACACACAGAGTCACCATGAGTTGGAATCACCTCCATGGCAAATATTATTTTTATTTTCATCACAATAGAAATTGAGTACAGTTTCATATCAGGTGCTTCTCAATCTTCAGTGTGCAAAAGACTCTCCTGGGGATCTTGTTAAAGTACAGATTCCGATTCAGTAGGTCTGGGGTGAGACCTAGGACTCTGGATTTCTAACAAGTGCCCAGGTGATATCCAGGCGATAATGATCTTCCCAGTCCTAGAACTACACTATGAATATCAAGTAAAATTTAGACAACCCTATTTTTCATAAAGGAGCTCTGGTAGCATAGTGCCTAAGGCACCTGACTGCTAACCAGAAGGCTGGCAGTTCAAACCCACCAGCCACTCCTCAGAAGGAAGTTTGGGCAATGTACTTCCGTAGTGATACTGCCTCAGAAACCCAAGGAGTGGTCGCTATGAGTCGGGTCAGACTCGACAGCACATAACAACAACATTTTTCATAAGGGCGCTCTGGCAACGTAGTGCCTAAGGCATTTGACTGCTAACCAGAAAAAAGGCTGATGATTCAAACCCACCAGCCACTCCTCGGAAGGAAGGCTGGGCAATCTACTTCCTTAGAGATACCTCCTCGGAAACCCAAGGAGGCGTTGCTATGAGTCGAAATCAACTCGAAAGCTATCAATCTTCCCTTTAAAGTAACACAATCTTTTTAATAATCTTTTTAGATTGACTGCTTTCTAAAATGAGTTTTAGATTTCCAGTTAATGATGTAAAACTGAATCCACACATTTCTGCTATCGCCCCAAATCTCACTAACACAACACTAAAGAAAGTTTTGTTTCTTTTAGGCATAAAAATCACAAGAAAAGAGAAAAACAAGAATGTAAACAACAGCAACAAATTTTTGGAGGATAGAAAGCTGACAGACAAGGCTAACTAAAGAGGGCTGCACTCCACAAGGTTTGCATGGCTGTGATCCCTCAGAAGCAGAGTGCTAGGTCTTTCTTCCAACGCATACTTGGGTGGGTTCAGATCGCCAGCCTTTGCAGTTAGTAGCCTACTACTTAATCATTTGAGTCACCCAAAGACTCCTACACTGGAGAAAGCTGACCCTTTATCTAGCAGTAGGGAAAATCTTAGAAGCAACTCTCACATTATCTCCAAAGAGGCTCAGGGTTTCTGAGACCTAAAAGAGAAGTTGGGGGAGGGTAAAATTGGGGCTAAAAATAGACAGAATGGTGGAAGTCTGTGTTAAAAGCAGGTCACCTTCAGATCCCATCCCCACCCTTACATCCTGGTGACTGTCCTTTGCAGCTCTGTTAGCGGATGATAGTTTATTCTCTGGGAGAAGCTTAAACACGGGTCTCTGATACACACCAACATAGTGGAGGCCATAAGAAGTTACACAGTAAATATTAAGAACTTTGACCCCCAACAAACACACTGGACTTCCAGAATGCTGATAACCAACCACAAGCAAGTGGTTAAAATGATCTCTAGAAGGTCTGCCCAGCACAGAAGGAAAGCTATAGAGATAAAAACAAGAAGCCCATAAGGAATTCTGGTGGCATAAACAGACCATCATTCCAACTCTCCTCCATAAATACAACAAGGAAATGGAGCTCAGCTTTGAGGGACTCTGAATCAGGGAGCAGAGGAAAGCAGCAGGGAACTGCAGACAGGCAGAAATAAATGAATCAAAGTCGAGTCACATGTGGTAGGAAATTCACTTCTTCCACTTTCCTGGCCCTCTCCCAGCCATGTGGGCCACCCACTGCTGTGAACTGGGGTAGTAGCCCCAGAAAGGAGCATGCTTCTTTAACCACCATAGCCCCTGCCTGTACAAAGAAACAGGACCCCAAGCTCTGCCCTAAAATTGATATGAAGACCTCCCCAGGGAGTAGTGTGCTACACCTCCTTACCCAGACTCTGTAGGTTGCAAGCATACTGTGAATTACCACAGAAAGCAAGTACAGTGGAGTCTGCTCTCATAGTTAACACTCTGCCTCCCTCCCTGTGCACCCCATAGCTCAGGCCTATAGCTTGGGAGTCTGAAACCAACAGGACAGACCTCCTGGGGAGTCAGTTCTGGTCTGTATGTTCCCCCTTTCAGGCAGTGCTAAAGACTGCTGACTGAGGCTGCTGTGTGCTGAGAAGCTGGCCATCTTTAGTGGAGGCTATACCCACAGCCAACATACTACAGCAGGGGCTCTGACAGTAGCAAGGCAGACCACCCTGCGGTTCCATTTGGACTGTGCCAGCACCTCCCCAACCTGGACACTGTCAACTGCAAGCCTAATGCAAATTCCTACAGAAGGTCCATGCAGTGTGCTCCCCTAGTAAACATTCTACTGGCCACTCCATGCACACTATAACTCTGACCTCTGAAATCAACAAGACAAACCTCACAGAGGGTCAATTAGGATTAGTCTGCCTCTACTTCCAGTTAATGCTAAGGACTGCTGACTGAGGCTGCTAATGTGCTAGGAAGCAAGATGCTTGGATGGAAGATACATTGATAGCCAACAATCTACAGGGGGGACTCTGACAGCAACAAGGCAGACTTCCATGGGGATCTGACCAGAGCATGATACTCCCTCCTCTACCTGATACTTCTTAATGGCCAGACTGTTGCAAATTGCTACCCAAGTCTCCTACAGTGAAGTCTCCTCCCATAGTCAGCATTCTAATTGCCTCCCTGTGCACTCCATAGCTCAGGCCTATGAAACCAACAGGATAGACCTCTTGGGGAATCAGTACATGTTTCTCTGCTCCCCCTTTTGGTGAGTGCTAAGGATTCTTGACTCAGGCTGCTTTGTGCTAGGAGAAGGTATCTTGAGTGGAGGGTATACCAACAGCCAACATACTATGGGGTGGGCTCTGATAGCAACAAAGCAGACCTGCCTGGGGTCTGGATGGAGTGAGACAAGCCCTCCCCCAACCAGTAGCTGTTAGCTGCTGGACTGATAGGAACTCCTACAGAAGGTTCCCTACAATGGAGTCAGCAGGTGGGAGACTGCTCTCTCAACCACCACAGTCAGCACTGTGAAATCAGCAAGATAGATTTCTCAAAGATTCTCCTAGTAAGTGCCAGGTCCTCCTCCTCCTGAAATGGAGGAAAGTCTCCCTGTGCTGACCCGGAATGCCAGCTCAGATATAAGAAGCTCCCACAGACCAGGGAAGCAAGAAAACCAAACAGCTATACCCAGCCTCAGAGGGGATTTGCTGGGTGTGGATTTTCCAACTAAAAGCATTGTTACAGAAAGAGAGAAGGGAAGGGAGTAATAACCAGAGAGGGAACTGCAACCCCTAGTAGACAGATTGATTAGTACACAATATCTCACCTGAGTGGCAATGCCTGACAGTAGACAGACTGCCACAGCACATTCTCTGAAGTGCTGGGGAGAGACTGAAAGTTGAAAACTGAGATCCAGAACTTTTGAATCCCAATTAAACCAGGGAGAAGCTATTACAGAGAAGGAGAGGATATGGAAAGCAAAGGCCGAACACCCCACCCACTGAAGATCTTTTTGCGAATAATAACTAACTCACTGCCATCAAGTCAGATCCGACTCATAGCAACCCCTCCTTGAGTTTCTGGGGCAGTATCTCTATGGAAGTAGATTGCTTGATCTTCCAGCCAAGGAGTGGCTGGTAGGTTTGAACCACCAGCCTTCTGGTTAGCAGTCAAATGCCTTAGACACTATGCCACCACAGTGTGGGCAAAAACATTAAATACTGGAGAAAACTGAGAAAGCTAACAGTATCAAAAATACTAATGCTCCAACAAAAAAAAAAAATCA